TCTCCGTCACAGCCCTGCCGACTCGTAGACGGCGTGGACCTCGCGGCGGCCACCACCGGGAGCCTGCCCACGGGCCGCAGCCTCACCCGGCGCTGCCCACGGGGGCGATGGGGTGCGGACCTCCCGCGCCCGGAGCGCGGCGGGGACACCGGGAAGGTCCGGAGCCCACGTGACCTCACCCGTGGGAAATCCCACGCCAGGAAACATTCCGCGCACACAGTGACTGCAGCTGCTTTATAAGCTATCTCTGTGGGGGCGGGGGGGTCCCCACTCTTGTCAGGGGGAGGAGCCGGCGAAGCGCGGCCTGGGGGGATGGGGGGGGAGCAGGGTGGGGTGATGGGGGGAGGCGTTGACTGGAGTCAGCTCGCTGTACACGCGTGGAAATCTCCCCGCCGCCATAGAACTAAGGTAAGCCGATTTAAATAAGAATAGTATCTTTGGACTACGTGTGTCAGCTATGCAAGAAAGATGATGTGTCTCTAGCTGTTCAATTCCTTCCAGAAGCTTCTAATAGCGGCCCCTGGCCTCCTTGGGCTGTGGCCCTGGAGCCAGAGCCTCTGTGCGTGTCTGGTAGTGAATGCAGAGCCCTGGACGGTTCTCGTGGACGCGGCCTGAGAGCAGGGGCAGTTCCTCCCGCGAGACGCTGCTCCTGCCGGGTCAGCCAGGCGGGGCCGCGGCCAGCGTCGCCATCGCCGGGCGGAGCGAGGGCAGCGTGGCCACCGTCCTGCGAGCCTCAGAGCCCAGAGCCGTTCTCAAAGACACCGTGGCTGCGGCGGCGGCCTTCAGTGCTCTGTGGAGAGCAGCCAGGCCTGAAAGCCCGCGCGGGCACCCATCACCCGCACCCATCATCCAGCGCCTCAGGAGGCCAAGGTCTGAGGACCGTGGTTCAAAGCCAGCCCGGGCAGGACAGTCTGGGACACTCTTGTCTCCAGGGAACCACCACTTGTGCTATGGCTCAAGTAGTAGAGTGCTCGCCTTGAGCTGAAGAGCTGAGGGTCAGCGCCCAGGCCCTGAGTTCAAGCCCCAGGACCAGCAAAAAGAAAGCGTACAACAACAATAACAACAAACACTCTGGGGAGAAAAGAAGCCCACGCCGCCCGTGGGCAGCTTGGACAGGGCCGCAGCTCTGCTGTCTCACGAAGGGGCAGCCGGCGGGAAGACGGGCTGGGAGCCAGGACGCAGCTCACTGGCAGGGTCTCGGCAGGCTCGTGCCCCAGGGCCGTCTTCCTGGGATGGGGTGCCCAGGCCCGCCCCCGCCTTCCTCACACCTGCTCCACCCCCTGACAGCGCATCTAACCCCGGAAGCCACTTCCCCCGCCCTCCCGGGACCCCCTCCTCCCACCGCAGCCAGGTGCTCTCTCTCTTTGAAGCTTCTGCTGTGTTTTGTCTAAATTCATTCATTCATTCATTCATCAACTTGTGTGAGTTCCAGCTCCAGGCAGGGAGGGCAGAGGTGGCTCCAGGGACACAGGTAGAGGGAAACTGAGGCCCAGGGAGACACCCCACAACCCCAGAGCACAGGGTGAGGAGGGCCCCGTCCAGCTGGGCAGCATTCCTTCCTGGGTTGGCTCCCAGTGAGGATCCTGCGTCTGATGACCGGGGGCGGCGTCTCCAAATTTCAGGGTACACTGTTCCACTGCTTTGGGCATGGTTCCAAAGCAGCCGGTCTCTTGTTCTCTAGCGGGTTCAGAACTGCTCACCAGACACCCCCGACCCTCCACCACATGTGAGGCTGCTCCCTGAAATTTGGATTATCATTGGAGAGGAATTTACTTTTGAAAGCAAACAGGGCCCAGGAGCTCACACCGGCCATCCCAGATCACCAGACCATCCAGATCATCCAATCATCCAGATCCTCAGATCATCCCACATCATCCCAGATCACCAGGAAGCTGAGATGTGAGAATTAAGGTTTGGAAGCAGGAAAGTTGACGAGATTTATCCTGAGGTACGTAAGCGGAACCAAGGCTCAAGTAGAAAAGTGCGGCACACAGGCCCTGAGTTCAAACCCCAGGACTGGAAAACACACACTCTCATTCTCATTCTCTCTCTCTCTCTCTCTCTCTCCCCCCCCCCTCCCTCGTGCATGTGGCTCTGGGATGTCTCCTGTAGGGGGCAGTGTGGCTCCACTAGTCTTTGTCTTTGCTCCTCCATGCCCCAGAGGCCTAGGCCCGTCCTCTTTCTGGTAGGAGCCTGGAGCTCTGGGCCTGGCAGGAGGATGCCCCAGCCACGCTGGGGAAGGCTCTCGCGATGGCAGCTTCTCCAAAAGCTAGCCTGGGGGCTGGGCACGTGGCTCAGGGGTAGAGCGCTTGCCTAGCATGCATGAAGACCTGGGCTCAATTTCCCAGCACCACATACACAGAAAAAGCTGGAAGTGGCGCTGTGGCTCCAGCGGTAGAGCGCTCGCCTTGAGCAGAAGCAGCTCAGGGACAGCGCCCAGGCCCTGAGTTCAAGCCCCAGGACTGGCAAAACAACAACAACAACAAGCTAGTCTGCCTGCTGTGCCACCCAGGTCCCAGCCGCACACACACACACCAGGGAGCCTCCGGGCACCAGGCAGGAAGATGAGGAAGCAGGTGCGTTTTCAGTGCATTAGCTCTGCGCGTGCACAGCACCGCGCCGCCCTGAGACTCCACCGTGAGAGGTAGACGCAGTGGGTGAGGTGCCAGGCCCCCTGTGATGCCAGCGGGCCCCCCTTCCTCCCCCCCCCCCCGTGACAAGCGCAAGGGCTCCCGAGGAGCCTAGGTGAGTCTCTGGCTCTGAGCAAGTGACGTCACCCCTCCTAGCCTCAGTTTCCCCTCAAAGTAGAGGGGGTGCTGGGCCTGTCCCCCTGGAGAGGCAGATAAAGGGGCCTCACACTGGGCTCTGGATGTGGTGAAGAAGCTGTGGTCATTAGAACGGTGCCCCCACCCCAACACCGCAGGCTCACCCCAGGACTGGCGACGTGACTAGTCATGTTGAGGACAGGACAGAGGCAGCCCTGACCGTGATTAGAGAGGTTAGGGGCGGGTCCGTGGGGACCACGGGCCTTCTATGGAGGGGTAGCAGAGGGACAGGGGCTGCTGGCCCCGGGGCTGCTGAAGGGGCCACAAGCCAAGGGAAGCAGCTGACGCTGGCAGCCGAGACAGCCGACAACACGTCTCCCTTGCAGGCTTCAGAGAGAACACGGCCGGTGGACGGCTCAGTCTTAGCCCGGAGGCACTCCCGGGCTTTGAACCCGTGGCATGGAGTCCCTGAGAATCAAAATGAGTGCCATTCTTCACCTCAGAGAAGGGATGGGTCAATGGGTCCGGGAGCTGAGCAGCCCCGAGAGCGCGTCGCTGGGCCTCGCTGGCACCAACAGAATTTGGCAAGATGCAGGCCAGGCTCAGACCTGCCCGTGGAGGCCGGCACCGTCGAATCCGGGGGACCCACAAGCTCTGAGCGAATGTTCTGGAACCCAGTGGCCTGGCAGGGGGAGAGGCCGGGAAAGGCTGCCTGGCTGTCCCCTCCCTGAGGGAGCTCCCCGGGGATCTCCAGCATCTCCGAGAAGTCCCACTGCAGAGAGCAAACAGGGCTCTGCCTTGAGCTCAGCGCCCACCAAGAGCGCCCCCCCCCGGCCTCGTCAACTCTGTTTGGGTGACAGGTGGAGCCGATGGAACCCGAGATGCACCTGGGCCTGGAGGACCTGGTAGCCCCATTCCCCCCCCCCCAGGAGTGTCACTGTCCAGTGGGTAGAGGGGACACAGGGGAGCCTCGGCTGGCTGGTGGGGTGCGGTGGTGGGCGCTCCACTCTGCTTCCCACCGTGGTCCTGATGCCACCAATGTAACTCTTCATTTCTGGAGCTCAGAGCCCCAGGTCAAGGTAGACAGGCCGTGTACCCCTAGAGGCCCAGGAGAGACTTTCCAGCCCGTAGGTGGCATCCGCTGGGCTGCCTGCGGTCACAGCTCCTCTGACATGAGCTCCTGGGGTTCTCAAGTTGTGCCAATGAGGCTCTGCGAGGCGGGGGTCAGAGCGGGGAAATGGGGGGGGAGCTCTAGAAAAATCTGGGAAAGGCAGGAAGGGGCTGCTTCCCATGAGCTCTGGGACTGGCCGGTGCCTCAGTGTGAACCTGTGTTCCAGGACCATGGCATGCTTGTGTGCACGTGCATGTGTGTGTGCACACGTGTGCACATGTGATATTTACTATGGTTGCCAGGGAGGTTTGCAGGGGTGGAGGCCCTGGGGGCCCCTGGGCTCTGGGGGGACAGGAGGGGCGGGGCCTCTTTGTGATGGGCTATGACAGGCAGGGACCCAAACCACAGCATTTTGGGAAGGGAGGGGTGCGGAGAAAGGGTTCCAGGACCTCTTGAGAGGTTAGAGAGGGGGAGGGGAGGGGACTTGAGGGTCTGGAGGGAGGAGGGATAGAGAGCACTTGGGGAAGGCCTGGAACAAGGATCTTTCTAAATGCCAACTGAAGGCCGCACTGGAGGGCCCGCGCATGCTCGGCTCTGGCACGCTGGGATGTGCGTTGTCTTTAAGCTCAGGCTGGCTTGTGTGTGGACTGTGTGGTGGGGGGAGCCAAGGGGCTATCCTGTCATCCAAGAAGGTGAGGGCACAGGCCAGCATGATGCTTCAGATTCGGGGGGGGGGGGCGCTGGGTGGGGAGGGCAGCCTAGGCTGGGGGAGGGGGAGGGAGGTTCCTGGGAATGGGGAGTGGAGCTATGGGTACCCCCTGTGTCACTGGCACACGCAGTGTGAACACACTCTCCTCAAGCTGAGCCCGGTGGCATTCAATGGTTCCCAAGCAGCACCCCACAGGTGTCCCCGATGCTGGATGAGGCCTAGTGTTTTCAGGGGTGCTCAGTCAGCACCTCACCGAAGCAGCCTGACCTCCTGGTTCTGAACAGGTCCTGCGTGGAAGGGACGGTGCCTGACTTCCAGGCAAAGGAGCAGAGGACACACGCCCACAAAACGCCCCTGCTGCGTGAACCCCAAGCGCCAGCACCCCAGCTAGAGGAGCAAGGCAGACACACCCAGGTAGCGGTTGCTTTCCAAGGTTTATTGCTGAAGTGTCAGAATACAAGCTGTATAAAAATACTTTACATATAGCAAAAATAAACTACAGTCAACGGGAGAGTAACAACGCTTTGCATAGGAATGTGACGGATCCAGAGTCCTTAACAGTCGAGATTTCCCACAGCTCCAGCCTTCCTTCGTGCCCCACGCGGGGACTACCTGTAGTGTAAGCCTCAGCCCGGGCTCCCTCTCCCCTCGCAGGGCTGCAGGTGCGTGCGGGCCTCCGGCAAGGCGGGTGCCATGCTGGCCATATCTGCTCAGGCCAATCAGGATGCTGGGCATACCTGTTGTCATGGAAACCGCATGCCTGCACCCACCCCACTCAAACCCTGAACCCACCGCGGGGGGCGGGCGGGGGTGACCCAGCCTGCCTGCAGCTCCGTGGAGACCCTTTTGCTCCCTGTGCCCCACTGTGGCTTAGCGGGGGCCTGCTCAGGGAAGCACCTCCACACCGGTTGCCAGATTGTTCTGGAACAAACTGCATTAAGACAGCCATGCTGGCTGTAACCGGAGCCAGCAGCGAGGCCGAGGGGGCTGGTGTTTGCAGCGCTGTTTTCTGCCAGCACTTGGCTGGACTGAAGGAAAACCCCTGGGTTCCGCTGGCTGCTCTGTGCGCACGCGCACAAATGCCCAGGTCCTACTGAGACGTGCCGGGGCCCCACAGGGCTGGTTCCCCCAGCTTGTGAGAACCCGCGCCCCGTCTGTGCGATTGTTAGGGTCAGGCTTCCCCATGCTGGACGACAGGAAGTGCTTGTGGTGTGAAAACAGTTCCAAGTGACAGCCGGAACACGTCAGCTTCCCGACTGCCCGGGACGGGGGCGCTCCGGCTCCGGCTCCGGTGCTGTGGCCTGTGTGAGCGCACCAGGCCCCGGCAGAGCCTCCGGGCTCCCGGGAGAGCCCGAGGAGCCTGTGCGGCCAAGCGGCGCCGCCCGCGGCTCCCGCGCCCCGCGGCTCTCCTCCCCGAGCCTGCGCGAAGGCTCCCACACACACCCACTCGGAATGTGTTTCCACGCTCTCCTCATCTCAGATCAAGATCACCTACGAGGTCCTTCAGTTCCACCCGCTCTCCTCAGTGGCGGAAGCCAGGCGCAGGGCTGGAAAGAGACGAAGATGGGGTCTTTTCCCACAAAGCCCCGGCCCGAGCCTTCTCGGCCGCAGCGGCTCCGACAGTCACGTGCTGCGCAGCCTCGGAGCTGGGGCATTTGGGGGGTGGGGTGGGGTGGGAATTTCCTGGCATTATGAACAAAAACAAAAAACTTCAAGAATATATCATTTCTCTGAAAGGAAAAGCATATATGCAAAAAGAGACCCTTAAAAAGATTTCTGTTATAAATATTTTCTAATTCCAACAACGGGATGCCATAGGTGGAGGCAGATGAAACGCATAAAAATACAGGTAAGAAAATAAAATTTAACAGCGTACTAGCTAATCTGGACTGCTGTGTGTATATATAAATACATCGTCAAGCAGCAGCGCGCGCGCACGAGGCAGGAAGACTGAAAAACCTGTACGTTACACTATGTTCAGCAACACAGCAGTTCAGCCCGTTCCAGATCTCCATTTCCACGGACAAAGCACAGGCTGCCTTATCCGAGAAACGCCTCACGCACGCGCACACGCGTGTCCCACGCTCCCATCCTCACCCGCCGGGCCCCTTGCTTCTCCTTCACCGACAGGACCCACTGCGCGTCCCCACCCTGGACATGCTCCATAAGGGATTACTCTCGGCAAAACTTCCTGCTGAGAAAATGTCCTTAGTAGCCGTCTGTGTCTGACACACTTCGGCTTGCTGGTTTCTGTCTTAATGAATGCCGTTTCTTTCCTGTGCTATTTGGTATTGCTGTTTATGGAAGGATTTCTGACACTATCCAGCTGTGACAGTGTAGGAGAGAAATGGAGAGGCTTAGTGTGCGTTACACACACGTGTGCATGCAGTCCCAGCATGGTTAGGAGGCAGACAGAACGCATGAACCCTGTGCACCCCGCGGACAAGGAGGCTGGACTGCTTTGCTATGGTATCAGAAAGGCACTTAGGAAAACATTCAGGTAACTGAGGAAAGGCCACGTTCCCTCATGAGCAAAAGATGGCCCTGTGCCGGGGCCAGTGAGGAAAGTCCTGCGGGAGATCCTCCCCGCTCCCTCCCCAAGGCGGCTGCTTTGCTGGAGAGAAAGTTGTGGGTAAAGCTGCTGGCGGTGCAAGGGCTTGTGGAGGAGGAGGTACTGAGCGTGGAGAACTCTGCAGTAGTACCTAGCTTCCTGTTGACCTGCTGTATGTCCAAAGGAGAATCTTACTCCACGGGGTCCAGCCTGGGTGAGGAAGGACTTTCTCCTGAGAGGGCATACACGCGAGGCACGACTGAAGGCAGGTTTCCCTTGGGTGGTGGGCATTTGGTGGCCTTGGCTTTCTGCTGAGGCTGCTGGCCAAGAATCCACTAGCACAGCCTTAGTGAGGCGCACAGGACATCATCTCCACGGTGCTCTTGGTGATGAGGGACATAAACGGCTGCAGGGCTGAAAACGCACCTCTGGTTCACTCACCCTGTCTGCCATGCGTGCAGTGCCACACTGCGCCAGCAGAGGGGGCTGTGGAGGCCAGGGGGAGGGGGCGGCTGAGGCTGCCACGGAATCAGGCAGAGCTTAAGGCACTTGGGTGAAAGCTCTTCCAGAGAAGGATCTGGTGGGCATCCGCTCCCAGAAGCCCTTGGGTGATTGCAGCGACGCCTCCTTTTGCTTGGGCTTTGGCTGCGCTAGCCCTTTGGCCACTGGTCTCAACCTCTGACGCCCCTGTGTTCCTTCCTACCTGGAGGGGCCTCGGCGGGAAGAGTCGCAGGAGGCTCCCCAAGCCTCATGCTGCGTGAGCTGCAGCTGCAGGCCGCAGGGTACAGGGAGGCGGCCGAGAGGGCGCCATCGCCAGCCTCCCTGGCCGGCTCTTTGAAGCGGAGGGAAAATGAGAAGAGATAACCTAACTTAACGCCGAGGAGTGGGGACAGTGGCTCTGTCTGGAGAAGGCAGAACACGGGGAAAGGAGCGTTCACTGTGGCCAGCTGTGGTGGAAGCAGGCTGCACGGCGGGCGTGGGGGAGGGGAGGGGAGGGTCCCGAGGCTGCCTGCAGGCGAGGCCCTCATCCTCCAAAGGGGACAGGCGCCATCTCTGTGGCCTGGACCAATGCACGGGGAGGGGGGCGCGGTGTCCCGTCAGAGCCCACGGCTGTCTCCTCCGTCTCCCGTGCGGTCCTCATCCGGTGGCTCTCAGGACGGCTTTGGGCAGCAGGCACTTGCCGCTGGACAGATCTTCATGCACCACCCAGGGCGCTCAGTGGAGGAGGGGCCGTGCGGTGTTGAGGGGCGTGGCCCTACGCGGGCCGACCACACCCAGGTCCAGGTGTGGCCTCCAGCAGAGGGGGACCAGGAGCGAGGACAGGGAGGGGCCGGGGTCCAAGGCGTCTGGTCTTGTGTGATGGCTGCTCTACGTCTGATTTCTGGCGGGAGGTCCTGAAAACTCTTTCCTGATAATTTCATTAACTAAAAATGAAAAGAGAGAGAGATTAAGAGGGGTAATTGGACAGCAAAACCACATCCCAGGTGAGCGTTCTAGAACCTTGATCAGGCTTTCACATCTGAGAATTCGTAACACCAGAACTATCTTTTTTTTTGGGGGGGGGGAGTAGGGGGTCAGTTGTGGGGCTTGAACTCTGGGCCTGGGCGCTGTCCCTCAGCTCTTCAGCTCAAGGCGAGCGCTCTACCACTTGAGCCACAGCGCCACTGTCTGGCTTTTTCTGTGTCTGTGGTGTTGAGGCATCGAACCCAGGGCCTCAGGCATGCAAGGCAAGCGCTCTACCACTGAGCCGCCTTCCCAGCCCCATACGCCAGAACTATTTTAAGTTCCTTTTTTTCCAGACCCAGACGCAGCACTGCAGTCTGCTCATGAGAATGACCCCGCTGCTTTTTCTGCTCTTTGTGGCCCAGCTGGGTGGGTCTGGGGTAGCTCTCTGCTCTGTCTTTTTGGTTTTGTGTCTACCAGACTTTCAGAAGCGATTAGTACTCCAGAATGTACCTGACACCCACTGGTGCCTGCAACACTACAGGGACCCGTGGAAAGCCAGCGGGAGCGCAGTGTGAACCAGCCACTCACGCGAGCAACCATTCCCCTCCCTCCCTTCGTTTTTGGTTTTCTTTTTGGCAGCACTAGGGTTTGAACTCAGGGCTCGGCCCTTGCTCTACGAACTGACCCACACTTTCAGCCTCTCCAGGGAGATGCAAAGTGGCCGGTGCTGTGGGCGGGGCCTACCTCCCTCAGCTGGTAAGCACCTGGGCAGGAGCTGAGACCCCCCCGCCAGCCTGGCCTGGCCTCTGGTAGCCCGCTGGCTCTGGTGTATGCATGGGCTGTTACGGACGGGCAGGGAGGTCCTGGGCTGTGCTCCTGTGCATGGTGCGCAGACTCTGGGCTGCCTGGATGCCCTCAGCTCCAGCCGGCCAGTCTCGGCGGGGTCTGAATGCCTGGTCCTGTGCTGGGGTGGCACAAGACCCTCTGGCGTCCCCCCACACCAGGTCCCCCGCCCTTTCCTGGTTCTGACGCTGACCTGCTCCCACATCTTGAAGTCCTGGTGGTGGGAAGCCAGCGGTGAGCGCCGAGGGCTGACGCTGCTGCCCAGCCCCACCCCTGCTCCCAGGTCTGGACACCCATGACAGGTAGCCTTCAAGAGCAAGCTATGAAATCTAACACTCAGCCCCTCACCGGTGGCTGTGTGCCCGACCTCCCCACACCTCCTTCTAGGCCCGTGGGGAGGCTGCTGGGTGGGAAGGAAGCTCACGGGACGTGGCCTGGGACTCGTGCATGGTGCGTACGATTGCACGGCTGCAGCGGTGAGTGACTGACAGGCCCCAGCACCCCCGGGGCTTTGCACACCAGGCGCATGCCGAATGCATGCTGGGGGGAGGGGGAGGGGAAGGGAGAGGGAGGGTCCCTTGCTGTGGACCCTTAGTGTCGTGGCTGTTCCCTGCCTCCGTTTCCCCATTGTACATGGCTGCCCTCCTCGGGGCTGGGGCGCAGCCCGCACGGGATTACACTAGTGGAGAACTGGGGCTGCTTGGGTTTTAGGAGTGGGTTGATGGGGGGCTGGATGTCAGCACAGGCGCAGAGCCACCACCACAAGACCCTACGGGGGTAGATGGGGCTCTGCAGGGAACCTGGGGCGCGAACCCCGCCATTCCGCTCACCAGCACACTGGGCACCAACCAGCAGGCTACCTGGAGCCCTAGCGGGAAGCTCAACGGAGAAATCGGCCCCGGCCGCCCCGCCCCCACCCTGCCCGGGCAGGGGGAGGAGAGAGGGGCTAGCCAAGCTTTTCAGAGCCGAGATTCTGAAGGCCTTCCCGTTTCCTACAGCCCTGGCTTCCTAAAAATAACCCGTGGGCAGGGCTGTGGGCACCGAGGGAGACCTCGCCTGCTCGGTTCCCTTCCCGGAGGCCGGGAGAAGCCGGGCCACCTGGAACCTTCCGGGAATGTCTCACCATCATGACGCCCTGAGGTTCGGACCCCACGCAGGGAACGGGGAGGGGGGTGGCCCTGGGCTCCACTGCTCACGACGCCCCAGGGTGCTGACCTGGTCACCTCCTCTCCCCCCTTCTCCCCTGTGTCCTGCAGTGCAGTGGCTGCTCTGCACCTCCCCCCAGAGCCCCTGTGGGACCTGTGAACCCCCCTTCCCAGGCTAATGTCCTGTAGACACCCCTCTGCCCCTCACAGGGGAAATATTCAGAGAGCCCTGGCCTTGCCTACATCACTGTGGGCGCCGGTGCGGCCATCAAGTGTGACTCAGACGTGCAATGTGGACCACGAACCCAGTGAGAGCTTGGAGCCAGCGGCTGTCTTCCACCAGCGGCTGGACCCCCACAGCAGGGACCCTCATGCCCTCTGTCTAAGGGTCCTTCCTGCCACCCCTCCTTCCTGCCACCCCTCCAGCACCACCTAATCCTGCCCTCACCTCCCCCAGAAGCCAGCACAGGACCCTCAGGTGCACCGGCCGTGTGGGGCTCCGCACCGTGCACACTGCAGGGGCCTCAGGTGCACCAGCCGTGGCGCTCTGCAACCGCAGGATCCTCAGGTGCACGGGCCGCGTGGGGCTCCGCACCATGTACAGCGCAGGGACCTCAGGTGCACGGGCCGCGTGGGGCTCTGCACCGTGCACACCACAGGATCCTCAGGTGCACCAGCCGCGTGGGGCTCCGCACTGTACACAGCGCAGGGGCCTCAGGTGCACGGGCCGCGTGGGGCTCCACACCATGTACAGCGCAGGATCCTCAGGTGCATGGGCCGCGTGGGGCTCCGCACCATGTACAGCGCAGGATCCTCAGGTGCACCAGCCGTGTGGCTCTGCACCATGTACAACGCAGGATCCTCAGGTGCACGGGCCGCGTGGGGCTCTGCACCATGTACAGCGCAGGATCCTCAGGTGCATGGGCCGCGTGGGGCTCTGCACCATGTACAGCGCAGGATCCTCAGGTGCATGGGCCGCGTGGGGCTCCGCACCATGTACAGCGCAGGATCCTCAGGTGCATGGGCCGCGTGGGGCTCCGCACCATGTACAGCGCAGGGGCCTCAGGTGCATGGGCCGCGTGGGGCTCCGCACCATGTACAGCGCAGGATCCTCAGGTGCACCAGCCGTGGCGCTCTGCACCGTGCACACCGCAGGACCCTCAGGTGCACCGGCCGGGTGGCGCTCTGCACCGTGCACACCGCAGGACCCTCAGGTGCACGGGCCGCGTGGGGCTCCGCACCATGTACAGCGCAGGATCCTCAGGTGCACCAGCCGTGTGGCTCTGCACCATGTACAACGCAGGATCCTCAGGTGCACGGGCCGCGTGGGGCTCTGCACCATGTACAGCGCAGGATCCTCAGGTGCATGGGCCGCGTGGGGCTCTGCACCATGTACAGCGCAGGACCCTCAGGTGCACGGGCCGCGTGGGGCTCCGCACCATGTACAGCGCAGGGGCCTCAGGTGCACGGGCCGCGTGGGGCTCTGCACCATGTACAGCGCAGGGGCCTCAGGTGCACGGGCCGCGTGGGGCTCTGCACCGTGCACACCACAGGGGCCTCAGGTGCACCAGCCGTGGCGCTCTGCACCGTGCACACCGCAGGATCCTCAGGTGCACGGGCCGCGTGACTGTGCACACCGCAGGGGCCTCAGGTGCACGGGCCGCGTGGGGCTCTGCACTGTGCACACCGCAGGGGCCTCAGGTGCACGGGCCGCGTGACTGTGCACACCGCAGGGGCCTCAGGTGCACGGGCCGCGTGGGGCTCTGCACTGTGCACACCGCAGGGGCCTCAGGTGCACGGGCCGCGTGGGGCTCTGCACTGTGCACACCGCAGGGGCCTGCCACAGGGCCTTGCACCATCAGCAGGGCTTCCTGCTGCTTGAGTGACAGCGGGATGGTCCCTGGTGACATTCTTGCTGCAGGTCTGAGCCCTGAGCTGGACTGAGGATATCTCATTTCTCCACCTGACAACAATCTAGTTACCATGCTCCTGTGACAGCCGGGAAGCAGAGGCAGACTACTCTTGTCACTAGAAAGGAGAATGGGGATTTGAACCCAGTGCCCACTGTGTTGAGCCTCATGTTCTGTGATTGACCACCTTGCTTCTGGGGCCCCTTGCTCGTGGCTGGGAGAAGGCCACGCAGCCTCTGCAGTGACAGTAGGGGCCAGTCGAGGGAGTGGGCCTTCTTTTCCAAGCCTCACCTGTTTTCTGTGGCTGCCCGCCAGAGCCCAGGGCCAGCAGGAGAGTCTTCCAGCCGGGGTGGGAATGGGGGCCGGGGCCGCATTCTAGGCCAAACCACAGTATCGGAGTGCCTAGAGCGGCTTAGGGACCCCCGTCCCGCCAAACCCACTCCCAGGGCCCCCAGAGTTGGGCCTGGACAAGGTGATGTCTGACGATGCCCTTCAGTCTCTTTCTGTTCTGACTGCTGGAGGGGGCTCTCCTGTGGAGGCCGGGCAAGGCCCTGCCTCAGCCCCTCCCCTGACAGGGAGGCCGCCGGAGGGCTGAGGAGCCTGAGGGGGCTTCCTGTGACGTCTGCTCACATCCCCCAAAACATCTGAGCTCTCAGGCTTTGCTTTTACTTGGTAAGAAACTTCCGTTTTCTGGACACTTGGGACCACAGGGAAAGAACTTTCCAGAAAAGCCAGCTGGACCTGACCTCACAGATTCTGCAGAAAGTAGCTGTCCTGTGGCAGGCCCGGGGCTGTAGACCTGACAGGCTGGGTCAGCACAGCACTGGCTGCGGGGGGGGGGGGGGGGGGGACTCCCCCCTCCCCCACCCCCAGGGCTTCCACCCAGCCCAGGTATTTCATGGGCACCTACGACTCCTGCCGTGCGGCCTCTGGACCCTTGGGCAGGGCAGGCGAGTACCAGGCCAAGGCCCGCTGTGTGATTGTTAGCTTTGGGGGACTGAGCCCCAGAATGGGTCCTCCGCACATGGGGAGTGTGGCTGCATCCTGGGGGGTGGGGGGCGGGGCATGAATCCTCGCCACATTATTACGGGGCCTTCCCGTGTCCATCGGCCAAGGGCCTCGGGGCCTGGCCTCACTGACTGAGGGACGGAGCAAGGCAGCGGTCCCAGACCCCACACCAACGCTGGCTGGCCAGGACTCCCTCTGTGCTGGACACTGGGAGGCTAGGATGCTCTGATTAGGATGTGGAGAACGTTCTAGAACAGCATCAGAGTCTAAGAAGCTAAGGCCCAGGAAGGTCCCACCTGGACCTTTTCCCACAAGAGCACAAGATGCTCCCGTGGCCAGTCAGCTTCACCCCCTGACTTCTGCATCTGTACCGTGGCCCATGTCAATCAACACAGCGAAGCATTGTGGGAAAACCAGTCTCAACGCAAATCCAGAAAGCAAGGAGCCAATCAACACTATCAGAACTACAATGCAAGAGACCCCAAGTCGAGGGGGCACCCCCCCCCCCCCGCTCAAGACAGCCACCATGGGGCCAGCTACCCAGAGCACCATCCAAAACCAAAACCACGAGGGCTGGGGGAGGCCTTGCCTGCATTCGTTCCTGCAGGCCAGTGCTGGGGTGGAGCGATGGGACCCCCAGATTAGCATGCAAATCCCCAGGCCTCACCCACCCCCAAACCTGGGGCTCAGCCCCACAGATGGCCCCGGAAATGCCCGGCAGGGAGGCGGGGTTGGGGCGGGGGAGCCAGGCCCTGGGAGGGGCCGGTCTGTGAGGCTGGCCTGCAGGCTGGACGTACTCCTGTTCCTGGAAGTAAGCTGAGGGCAAGCAAACTCACAGCCAGCAGACAAAGGAGAAGCAGAAGATATCGATTACCTTTCACTTTGATTGCATGGATCAAAGATCACAGTCTTTCTGTTTCATAATATGTTTTGTATCCAGCTAAGGTGTGTGTCTATCAGCTCTGAAAAAGACGTGCAAAACCAGTTTTGAGAAGAAGAAAATCACCGTTGAGCTGTTCTGCTGTTCTCCCAACTCCTCGGGGCCGCGCCACCGGCTTCCCGGGGCCGCGCCACCGGCTTCCCGGGGCCGCTACCCCTCCACACTCGCCACACGCACCTCAGCGCTCCCTGCACCCCGCATGCTGGAGCACCTTAACATGGAAGCCAGACAACCCAGTGAGCGGACTAAGGGTCCCCAAGATGCAGGGCAGAGAACTGGGGGTCTCTGAGGCCAGAGGGCATGCCTCCTTTCCCTGTACTGGCCCAGGGCTGTGAATTCAGGGACTGGCCACTGCCCCAGAGATTTTTTTTTTTTTGCTCAGGGCTAGTGCTCTACTGCTTGAGCCACAGCTCTACTTCCGGCCTTTTGGTGGTTCATTGGAGATAAGAGTCTCATGGAGTTTCCTGCCCGGGCTGGCTTTGAACCGAGATTCTCAGATCTCAGCCTCCTGAGTAGCTGGGATGACAGGCGTGAGCCACCAGCGCCCAGCAAGGGTGGTGGCCCTGGGTGGCCAGGCACGCTCCTCAGGCTACATGCTGTTTTCCCATTTTCATGATAACAAAATTACTTCTCCTGTAGCCTCTATGGAGTTAGAGCAACGAATCCCCTGAGAAGAAGAGGCCCGAGTTGTTGTGCCAGAAATCCTCCCATCATCCTGTCTCCATTTTAAATGGTGGCAGAACGCTCTCTCCCTGCATTGTGCCCGTTTCTTCCCAAGTCTTCTTCTCCACTGACCTGTGCTATAAGGGCTATGCTGTAAGGCCAGAGTCCCAGCCAGGCACGGCGGCTCATCCCTGTAATCTAGCTACATGGGAGGCTGAGATGGAGAGGACTGCAGTTAGAGGTCAGCCTGGGCAAAACTGTTCATGAGCTCCCTTAAGGACAGAAAAAACCAAGCCTGGTGGCGTGTGTCTGTCACCGCAGCTGCAGCAGGACGTGTGAAATCAGCTAAGCAAAGTGCCCGCCCGGAAGTGACAAGGCTGAGGTCAAGTCCCAGTGCTGCCAAGGAAGAGGAATGTGCTCTGTTTCTGTCTCTTCCTGGAAGGGATGGACCATCGTTAGTGCTGTCAGTAAACTAGAGTATCTTTCAAGGAGACTAGAGAGCACCCCTAAGCCTCACCTTTTGGCGGGGGGGGGGGGGAGGGGGGGGGGACATGCCATCAGGAGATCTTTCTAGCAGTTCTGCAGGGCTCTGGGAGTCCGGGGACGCCTGCCCACTCCCTCTTCTGCAATGGGAACCCCAGCTGTCAGCCCAGCCCCCGGGGCGCATGTGACCCCACCCCTGTGGGGTCAGCACCCCCTCGCTGCCCTCCGGTGCCATGCTCTGCTGCAGACGGGCTTGTTCCAAACGCAGAGCAGAGGCTGTGAGATGCCCCCCCTGCTGACGGCAGCCTCGCTGTGGCCCAGACCAGCACCCCCAAACTCCGGGCTCAGGAGGTGGGGCGAGGGGGGGAGGGACTGGCTCTCCCACCCGGCCTGCTCTGCTTGTTTCCGCTGGAGTTAAGTGGACCCCCACTTCCCAGGGCCACCTGGCCACGTCCTGAATCCATCCACCCTCCACGACCGTCCCAACGCGGCCAGTCCCCCACCCCCGGGGCCTGGGGGGGGCCTCTGCCAGAGCACAGGGCTCCCCAAGAAAGAGCCAGCCCTGGGGTGCTGCCTGGGGGCCGTGACCTCGGTGCACACTCTGTGTGTCCTGAGGCTGCACCCCAGGCCCAGGCCGCCCCGCAGGGAGCAGATCCAATCCAGAAGGACGCAGGCCCCACCCACAGATGGCTGGCTTCCTGTGGCAGTGAGCACGCAGCTTCCTGTCAGGGTGCAGAGTTGCACCCCTTGCTCCTGGTGGGGACAGACCCGGGGCCTAACCAAGAGCTTCTCCCAACCCAACTCAACCTGACCAGCACCACCACGCACGCCTGTGCATGCGGCTGCCGGCGCTGCCTCTCTGTGGGCTCCAGGGAGCCCTGCTCCTAGGCCGCTACTGCGGGAGGAGAGGGGGGCTGTCCGGGAACGGGCCCTCAGCACCAAGTGGGAACCAGATGCGGCTCCAACTCTCTGGGTAGGATCTCCAAGTGTGGAAGGTTCTCAAGAGGTCTTGGGAGCACTGATAAAATGCAGACTAACTTCAGAAGTTTCTGGAGCTACAGTGTGCGCACGCATCTGCGCACGTGTTTAAACAGCCATGGGCTGGGGTGCAGGGCCGCACTTCGGAATCTCAGCTACCCAGGAGGCAGAAGAAGGAGGATCGCTGGCAGAGTTAGTGTGAGACCCTAGCTGAGAGTGAAACTCAAAGCTGAAGGACTGGGGGTGTGGCTGGGGGGGGAAGCGCCCTGCCCAGCAGCCGAACCTCGCACACAAAGCACAACACAAAACAAACACAGGAGGGCAGAGGGGCCCCAGGGGCTCAGGCCTGTAATCCCAGCTACTCAGGAGGCTGGGAATTGAGGTTCAAAGCCAACCAGGGCAGAAAAGTCAGTAAGAGTTTTATCTCCAATGAACCACCAAAAAGCTACAAGTGGAGCTGTGGCTTGAGTGGTAGAGCAAAAAAAGCTAAGGAACAGCACCGAGGCTCTGAGTTCTAGCCTCAGTACTGTCACACACTCACACTCACACACACACACACACACACACACACACACACACACAGTTCCACTGGTCAGTGAGTCACAGGCAGTTGCTACTGCAAAGATGGAGAGAGGCTCAAGCCCGGCCCCAGGGCCCAAATCCAGGGCGGCGCGCAGCGCTGGTCTGAGACTCACTGCCCCATTTTGGGGTCTCCTCCAAGGCTGCGGCCCACAGTGACACTCCCTTCTACCACCCGGCGCAGCCTGCGTGCCCCCACACTGCCCTCAGTCCCTGGGCTCCGTCGCCCTCGGGGTGGGGGATGGGGGGTTGGCTTGTCAACCCTTGACAGGAACAAAAACACAAGGTCAACAGAGGCAGACCCGCCGGCTCTGGAGATGCGAAGTGAGGCGGAGGCCCGTGGGTGTGGGAGGCCTGGGCTGGGGTGCTCCTGGGCCCTTTCTGACAAGTGTCCTTCAACTCTCAGTCTGGAGAGAGGAACTCCTCCCAGTGTGGTGGGCCGTCAGCCGGGGAGGGAGGACGCCACGTGAGAGGCCTGGCCCGGGGTGCCACGCCCAGTCTCTCCCGCCTTGGGCGGCTCATGGGGCTGACCTGGATGTGTGCACCGCGTGTGACCCCGTGCCAGCGCTGCGGCGTGCCCACAGAGGCCACGGGAAGCACGCGGCCCTCTGCGAGGCGGAGATCTGGCCGTGCAAACTACAGAGCGGCCTGGACCTCGGCTGAGATGACGGGTAAACAAACCCCAGTCGTCAAGGAGGCCCTTCCTCCCGGGGAGGCACCTAATTCCTTGGGTATCGGGCTGGGGGAGGGGAGGCCCTCCGACCTCTAGGTGGAGAAGCAGGTGGACTCCTGGGGGCGGTGGACAGGCGACCCCCAGCCTGCTCTCATGAGCACTTGCCTCCAGTTTTTCACTCTTCCGGCCCAGCCTCACCCTACCAGAAATCCACCTTCTAGATCATTCTTTATCTTTACTCATGTGCCATGTCCTGCTCCCCGTACAGCCCCCATCACAGGACACCCACAGAGGCACGCCCTTAGACTTCCCACCCCCGGGCTGGCACGGTGGCCTCACCACCACCCGCTCCCAATTCCTGCTTGTCTGTCAGGGCGCTTTAGAAAAACTTAGATCCCACCAGATACTTCAGCCACGCCGCTGCCTCTCACCTTCCAGACTCAGGCCGAGCCACCGGCGGCCCGGAGACGCCGTCCAGGCTCACACCTGCCCTCAGTGTCTCCTAGTGAGAGCCGCTGGCCCGGCCAGTCCTGGCAGCTCAGCGCACCAGTGTCCAGGACAGAGCCTGGACTCCAGGCTCATCCCCGCAGCCCTCTGCCCTGCAGCAGTCCTGGACTGTGCGTGCGGGGCTGCACGCTATCCCTCCCAAAGCCAGAGACAGGGCCTGCCAATGACCAGGAGTCCGGTGTCCACGCAGGTGGGGCTCCCGGTAAGACAGCACTCTTGGAAGAGACCCCAAGTGCTGTCTCATGTGCAGACACAATAAGAAGGTGGCCATCTGTAAGACAGGCAGCATGTCCTCTGCGGACCCTGCCCAGGCCAGCGCCTTGAACTTGGGCTGCCAGCCAGCCTCCAAAACATGAGAAATAACCATGGCTTCTGAGTCCCCAGATCTAGTTCAGGGCATTTTGTTACCCAGCCTAAGCTGACTGCTACAACCCTCCAAAGCACTTTGCTCTGGCATGGCCCTGGTCACGTGGCAGGCATCTGCCATCAGGGTGGCCGGGTCACGTCACTCGGCCAGCCTTCCGCAGCGCGTGTCGCCGCCACCTCGCCTTCCTGTGGTCTGACTGCACACCACAACCCGTCCCGTCCCTGCACCCGAGTCTTCCTCTGCCCCTGACCGACTCTCGTGCCTCGGGTTCCTCCCGCCATCTCAGTGCAGTCACTGTGCTCCTGGGAAGGGCAGACGGCGCTGAGCTGCAGACAGACACACAGGGTTTGGGACGCTGTTGGGAGCCAGGCTGCTGGGATCCCAGCCCGCGGGGTCCCTTCGTGGGACTTTCCTGAGCCTCTGTGAATGGTGAGCTTGATGCATCCGACAGTGCCTGGGCCCCAGCGTGCACTTGGTGCCTAACTCATAACCGGCTGAGTCCCCGGGCTCAGTGCTCCCATCTGTGTGGTGGGCCGGATGCAGAGCTAACAGAAAAAAGCAGCCAGAAGTGCCGGCCGCCATTTCTGCTCTCATCAGCGCTGCGTGTTGGCCTGAGGTATGGAGGCTGCGTGGTTTAACACACTGAACTGATTTCACGTCAGCCCGCCCTCTTCCTGCAAACCACTTTCACCTTGGGGGCTGCGTGTGTGTCCAGGTCAGCCTGCGCTCAGCGCTTCTACCCTGCCCCCTTCTCTGCGAGCCCTGGCTGCCG